TATTTCTATTGTTAGTTTTATTATTCTTTCAGATTATTTTGACTCTTCTCTCAGATTATTATTATTATTATTATGTATTATTTCTATTGTTCTTGTTATTTTTATTATTCTCAGATTATTTGTACTCTTCTCTCAGATTATTATTATTATTTTGTATTATTTCTATTGGTCTTGTTATTTGTACTCTTCTCTCAGATTATTATTATTATTTTGTATTATTTCTATTGGTCTTGTTATTTGTACTCTTCTCTCAGATTATTATTATTATTTTGTATTATTTCTATTGGTCTTGTTATTTGTACTCTTCTCTCAGATTATTATTATTATTTTGTATTATTTCTATTGGTCTTGTTATTTGTACTCTTCTCTCAGATTATTATTATTATTTTGTATTATTTCTATTGGTCTTGTTATTTGTACTCTTCTCTCAGATTATTATTATTATTTTGTATTATTTCTATTGTTCTTGTTATTTTTATTATTCTCAGATTATTTTGACTCTTCTCTCAGATTATTATTATTATTTTGTATTATTTCTATTGTTCTTGTTATTTTTATTATTCTCAGATTATTTTGACTCTTCTCTCAGATTATTATTATTATTTTGTATTATTTCTATTGTTCTTGTTATTTTTATTATTCTCAGATTATTTTGACTCTTCTCTCAGATTATTATTATTATTTTGTATTATTTCTATTGTTCTTGTTAGTTTTATTATTATCTCAGATTATTTTTCTTGTTGTTGTTGTTGTTTTTATTAATGTATTATTCTCTCAGATGATTTCTATTATTTTTATTTTGCATTGTTACTATTACTATTATTATTATTACCTTTATTTATTACCATCATAATTCTCTCAGAGTGAAATGTAAGTCAAGTCACCTGTTGTAAGGCACTGGGTGTGATCATGTGACCCAGCTGTTTGAGGGTGCTGGGTTTCAGGCCTGCGATGTGTTCATTGGCTGATGGTTTCACTGGAAACAATAACACAACACATTACACCTCAGAGAGTCAACAGATAATAAGATATGAAGCCCAATGGATATAAACACAAGAACGACAGATCATTAGATGTTTCTCACCAGCTTTGATGACAGTAGCGTCTGATTTGACTTTATCAGGAGGAACCGTGATCCACTGCACCACTGCAGACTGAGCGGCCGTATCTGTCAACATCAGACACATTTCATTTACATTTTCACTTTCTGCACATGTGCATGAGATCAGGGACTAGTTTAGTGTTTTTAAATAAAGTTTGACTCACTATTCTGTGCGGGAGCTGGAAGAATAGCTCGTATCCGGCGTTTCTGTAAAGCACTGCTGGCTTTTTCTCTTGTGACAACCTGAATTTGACCACCACCCAATGATCTGAAATGAGCAAAACAGACAGCTGAATGAGGAACACCATGACAATAAAATACTCAATACTCTATGCATATTGTGCAGTACACACTGTGTGCTGTCCACTATTAAAAAAATAGTATAGTATGTGAAACAGTACACAGTATGCAATTATAGACATTTCATACAGTAATACAGGCTACACTTTAGTCACATGCTCTCATTACGCTGCATGTTTAATTCAGCGAGTACCGCCAATTTATCATTGGGTCATTTTAAATTTTTTATCCAATTTTATGTTCAAATTTTTAGTTGTTGGAAATCTTAGCAGTCGGATTAAGCCAAAAAAAAAGAGATGTTAAAAATCATAAAACTATTAAAAATCATTTTCAGTAATTGAAATAAAGCTCAAAATCAAATAAAATATAAATATTAGATGAAAAATATTTTTAAAAACTTGCTAAAATTGGCTAAAATAAATGTTTAAGTTGAAGTACTAAAATACTAAAACTGAAACTGAAATAAAGAAAAATAAATTAAAGCTAAAAAAAAAAGACAACAAATACTAAAACTTAAAGTAAAAACTACATATTTTGGCAAATATAGAAGGTCATCCAGGTATTTCTATATGCATAGTATGCATACTGCAGAAAGAGCATGAGTAGTGTGTTATTTGGTTTCTTACAGCACAGCTGTGCATTCGGCGCTCTGCGCTCCATCAGATGTTTTGACAGCAGCTCTATCAGGTGTTTGTTGGGCTGACGCTGCATTCACCCGCTCTCTCTTTCTACGGGCCGCCCTGCGAGCAGCCGCAGTCCCGCCGTCCTGAGCTTTATCTGAAGAGGTTTTCTGAGTAATAACGGAAGCGGTTGTCTGCTCTTCTGTCCGTTCTGTGTCTTTTGATGACATCTCATTAGGGTCTGACGGATGAGGCTTGGATTCGTCACACTGTTTTCCTGAAGACGGGTCAGACGTTTTGACCGAGCTTCTCTTAGCCTGTAACAGAGAGAAATACAGTTTGTCTTATATTCCTATATTTTGAGGATTATAATTAGGAATGCAAATTTAAACACATAAGCCACATTATCAGTTCAGGAAGCTTCATATTTCAGGTCATCATTTCCAGACTGCAATTTTAATTTTTTTTATATTATAATATATATAAACATTTTTGTTAAAGGGGTCATATGATGCAATTTAAATTTTTCCTTTCTCTTTGGAGTGTTACAAGCTCTTGGTGCATAAAGAAGATCTGTAAAGTTGCAAAGACTAAAGTCTCAAATCCAAAGAGATATTCTTTATAAAAGTTAAGAGTCAACCACGCCTACCTAAAATGGTTCATTCTAACACACCCCCACATGTCTATGTCACGATGTGGGAAGATGTGCATAACGCCGCCCAAATGTTCACGCAAAGAAAGAAGGCGTAACTTTCATTCTCGCTGTAGTATTGTTGCCGCCGCCGCCATGTCGTGAAGGCGCTGTGTTTCGTTGTGAAAGCGAAACTACTTTGTTTGGTCTTCCAAAAGAGGACGATATCCGCTTCTTCATGCTTGGAGCTGATCCGTGCTGGTCGCTGAGGAAATACATCAACTTCGCGATGTGGATCGCCGGATCGGCTTTTACCGTGGAGTCCAGCCCGGGGTCATCACATGAGGTTGCCACAAGCCCGCCAGACGCTCCTTCGTCGAATCCGCCGGCCACGCCGTTCTCAAGCGGCCTCTGCTCACTCTAGGCCTCTGGCCGTCGCTCACTCTAGCCCGCGGTGTGTGACGCTGTGTTTCGTTGTGAAAGCGAAACTACTTTGTTTGTCCTTCCAAAAGAGGACGATATCCGCTTCGTCATGCCTGGAGCTGATCCGTGCTTCAGAGCCCAGACTTAAACCCCACTGAAAATCTGTGGAATGACTTGAAGACTGCAGTCCACAAACAGTCACCATCAAATTGAACTGAACTTGAGCAGTTCTGCAAAGAAGAGTGGGCAAATATTGCAAAGTCTAGATGTGCAAAGTTAGTAGAGACAAATCTCAACAGACTAAAGGCTGTAATTAAAGCAAAAGGAGCTTCAACAAAATACTGACACAAGGGGGTGATTCTTTTTCCAACTCAGTGATTCTGTTTTGTTTTTTTCCTGACATGTTGGTGTTATATCTTTCACTTGGATGTTATAAGTTGCACAGAGTAAATACAGCTGGATAAAACAAAAACTGGGTCTGTCTTCATTTCAGGCTGCAAAGCAACTAAATTTGATTATTTTAATGGGGGTGATTCGTTTCTATACCCACTGTATCAGCAATATAAATGTATTTGAATGGGTATCAGACATGAGTAACATTGAATTAGCCAGACGCTCCTTCGTCGAATCCGCCGGCCACGCCGTTCTCAAGCGGCCTCTGCTCACTCTAGGCCTCTGGCCGTCGCTCACTCTAGCCCGCGGTGTGTGACGCTGTGTTTCGTTGTGAAAGCGAAACTACTTTGTTTGGCCTTCCAAAAGAGAACATGACTAGAAATCAGTGGTTAAGTTGTATTTACAACACTGTTCCAGAACAGTTCAACCCAAATATTCAGATGTGTGCAGCACATTTTATGGAGGACTGTTTCCTGATCCTGGTAGAGTAGACTACAACGCCGGCTGTTCTGACTCACAGGCTGTAAGTACGTTTTTTTATATTTAAAGAATTTGCCACTGATGATTCAAACACGAGTTTTGAGCAGTTTAGAGTAGCACTTGTTGTTTGTCGTTTCTCCGATCACAAATGCAGACGTGGTTTTATGTTTACATGGCGCGATGCAACGCAATGCGTAAAAAGACAGTATAAGTCATTATAATCAGTAATTATGTCCCCACTGGATGCAACAAATGCCTCGTTTATAATAGGTTTTAATGTTTTTGTCTCGTCGTGCCGGGACACAGCATCACAGTATGGTAAGGGGCGTAACCTTTCCGTCACACGCTTGAGGTATTCGGCCAATCACAACGCACTGGATAGCTGGCCAACCAGAGCACACCTCGCTTTTCAGAACGATGAGCTTTGTAAAAATCGACGCGTTTCAGAAAGGCGGGGCAACAATAATGAACAGTATGTAGAAAATAAAGTGTTTTTTTATCCTTAAACCGCATAAACACATTTCATTACACCAAATACACAAAATAATTATTTTTAGCAACATCATATGACCCCTTTAATTACTTTTAATCATTAATTTTTTTTATAATTTTTTTTAAAAATTATTTTTAAAAAGCTATACAAAACAAGTCAATGAAGTCAATGTTCATGAAGTAGAAAATACATGGAAAGAGAAATGTATTACTCTGAACCACCATATGAATGTTTTGTAAGTATTTTTCACTGTATGCTTTGCTTTGATTTAATGAGAGTGGGTATAAAAAAAGATTCACCCCCCATTAAAATAATCACATTTTGTTGCTTTGCAGCCTGAAATGAAGATGGACCCAGTTTTTTGTTTTATCCAGCTGTATTTACTCTGTGCAACTTATAACATCCAAGTGAAAGATATAACACCAAAATAAAAAAAATGTATAAATAAAAAAAACAGAATCACTGAGTTGGAAAAAGGATCAACAGTTTTCCTGGTCAGAGAAGCAACCAAGAGGCCTACAGCAACTCTGAAGCAGCTGCAGGAATTTATGACAATGAGTGGTCCTTGTGTGCATGTGACAACAATATCACAAATTCTCCATTAATGTGGCTTGTATGGGAGGGTTGCAAGAAAAAGCCACTCCTCAAGAAAGGCCACATGCATTAATGACTGAGCTTTGCCAAAACACACCTTGAAGATTCTGAGGCAGATGAGTCTAAAATGTAATTATTTGGCCTCAACAGCAAACGATTTGTCTGGCAGAAATCCAATACAGTTCAGCATCCAAATAACAGCATTCCTACAGTAAAGCATGTAGGTGGTAATATCCTGTTATGGGGGAGTTTCTCTGCAGCAGGGACTGGAGCGCTTGTCAGGATAGAAGGAAAAATGGATAGGGCAAAATACCGTCAAATTCTTGAGGAAAATCTGCTGCCCGCTGCCAGAAAGTTGTCAGTGGGAAGAAGGTTTACCTTCCGACATGACAATGACCCAAAGCACACAGTGGTTGAAGGCGAAAAAGGTGAATATCCTTGCATGGCCTAGTCAGAGCCCAGACTTAAACCCCACTGAAAATCTGTGGAATGACTTGAAGACTGCAGTCCACAAACAGTCACCATCAAATTGAACTGAACTTGAGCAGTTCTGCAAAGAAGAGTGGGCAAATATTGCAAAGTCTAGATGTGCAAAGTTAGTAGAGACAAATCTCAACAGACTAAAGGCTGTAATTAAAGCAAAAGGAGCTTCAACAAAATACTGACACAAGGGGGTGATTCTTTTTCCAACTCAGTGATTCTGTTTTGTTTTTTTCCTGACATGTTGGTGTTATATCTTTCACTTGGATGTTATAAGTTGCACAGAGTAAATACAGCTGGATAAAACAAAAACTGGGTCTGTCTTCATTTCAGGCTGCAAAGCAACTAAATTTGATTATTTTAATGGGGGTGATTCGTTTCTATACCCACTGTATCAGCAATATAAATGTATTTGAATGGGTATCAGACATGAGTAACATTGAATTAGAGTAACACAAAATAACAGGAGCACGGGTTTGAGGACTCACAGGTGCCACCCATTTCCCCCCGAGGTGCTGGCCGCAGTCAGGGCACTGGGGCGGTTTGTGACGGGTGACGTATGAAAACACACACCCGGGTGTGGTGCAGTTGCCCCGTCCTCGCCGTGTGTATTTGATGGGCTGAAAACAGAACAGATGTGTGAGTTACATGTCTGATGCATTATGAACAGAAAGCTGGAAAGCACTTGGGAAAAATCCCAAGCTCCAATCAGACTTCTTGAGGTGCATTATAGTTAACTATGACTATCACTAAAAGTATAAAAACATTTTCATTATTTGAAATAAAATAAACTTTAACTAAAATTTCACACACATATACATATATATATATATATATATATAATACAATTTAAAATAAACATTTTATAAAAATAAAAACTAATAATAATTAATAATAATAAACTATAATAGTATTTAATTGATACTAAAATAACACTGGTGCACAGGTTTATTTGAGCCTGTTTAGGAACAAAATGTGTTCAAAAGTCACTGTGTTGAAAAAGTTTGCCTGGTTCATGCTTTCAAAGAAACTACACACATAATCTCCCGTTTTTTCATTATTTTGGTCAACCGTTTCGTCTAAGTTAGCAGGTCTTGGTCAGAAGGAAATGACCCATATGAAAATGCACATTACGTACAGATATGTGTACATTGCTTTCACAGATGATTTACTGACCAGTTTAAATGAGGGTTTGGGTTCTGGTTTCACACTGCTCACTAACGGAAACATCATAATTGGACTGGCTGTGTTAATCACTTTACCCTGAAAAACACAAGACACAGAGTACATATTAATTACTCATTTATCATTTCTAAAAACCTGTACATTTATTCATTCACTTCATTCATGTGCTTGTAAAGCATCTTTATGTTTTAATGTGGATGACTGACAGCTCACCTGATTGGGTATTATAGCAACTAGATGAGTGGCATCTGATTTGATCTGTGGCATCAAAGCCCCGCCCTCCATTCCACTCTCTATCGCCATGCCAATGTCACCATACGACACTCGAGACTCCTCCCTCTTCACAAGCAGAGCGGCGGCTTTGTGAGCATCCTGGCCGAGAGCTGGTAGTCTTTCAGTGGCATTCTGGGATGGTGCGTCCTCACTGAGCGCCTCGACGGCGATGCACTGCTCCACCAGCTCCACCTCACTGCCCAGAGTCATGGGGGACACCAGCGTCTCCTGCGCCGCGGCCTGAGGGGCTCCATCCGCCAGCGTGTCCGTCTCTCCGTCTCTCTCGACCCGTTCGCCTCCCGCTGAACTCTTGGGCAGGAGCACGTAATTCGCCCTCGGGAGGATCTTGCGGAAACCTGGTACATCCTGAGAGGATGCAGCTGCTGATTGGCTGCTCTGTGAAAAGAGTCGTAAAATTGACAGTCATGAGAATTTTGGAGGGAAATGTGCTTTATTGCACTGAAAATAATGCAAAATTTGCCTCATTTTCTTTCAACTAAACATAATTTCTTCTATATTTCACAGTGAAATATGACCTAGACGTGTTGTTTACAGTTTTGTTTCAACTATACAGTAGAAAAAAGATCTAAAAAAAACACATATATATTTTTGTGATCATATATCAATAGGACTACAATATATATATATATATATATACACACACACAGTATATACTAATATACTTAAATATAATTATATAATATATATAATTATTTAAAAAAAAATTAATATTGATTTATTTAATACAAATGATATAATTTATACTATTAGTTTTTGTTAATATTTTCATAATTTCCTGTTTTAATTTAAATTTTAAAATGTTTAGTAATTATGTTGTTATCATTTTTATTATTTTTTTTAATATGTCTATATAGTTTCATTATTTATTAGCTTTTATTTAATTTAGTTTTAGATATTTTAGTACTTCAAGTCACACTAAACGAAAATGAGAAATGTTGCCTTGGCAACTAGCTGAAATACAATAAGCTCAAGTTTCTTTCTTAATTTAATATTTCATTTCAGTTCATTTTATTTTAAATAACAATAATGGATTTTTTTATGCTTTTAGTTTTGGTTAACTATAATAACCCTGATAATAATAATAATAATTCTTATTATTATTATATAAAATATTTTTTTAAATGTAAATATTATTATTGTAATATTTTACTGTAAAATAAAAACTGAGTATTTAAGAAAAATAATTTAAGAATGTTATTTTACAGTACAGCACTGTAAAATTACAATACTAATATTTAGGGTTGTCTTAATTTCATCATTTTCAAATGTTAAACCATCAATCTTTTATTTTGTGACCATAAAGCTTATTATTTGTGGATAGCAGCCAGTTTATAAGCACTTCCCATCACAAGTTTGGGAAGATGGTTGAAAAAGAAAACAGTGCCGTCACTGCCGTGCTTCACTCTGAAATCGTATTTAATTCATTAAACACAGCCTTTGCACACTATTCGCACTAATAATCACACTAAGCCATATCGCAATTTCGGTTTTATTACAATTAATCGTGCAAAGCCCTACCATATAGTATTCATAACTTTTCAAATTGAAACAGTTTTGATGAATAAAAACAAAAGTTAACTTCTACTTCATAAGAATTTTTCATGTCAATTGCAGGAAAATGCAACTACCCAAGTACAGGTAACTGCATTAATCATTTATAGTACATATCATACTCGGTTAACAGGCTTACTGGGTCAATGCCGTCTTTCTCCATGCGCGCTCGCTCCAGGTAATAACCTCGATCCGCCACGTTCAGCCTCTTCCAGCTGTCGCTGATGCATTTGTTGATCTCAGACTGCGGCAGGTCCGGATGCTCCTGCTGGACGCTCTGATGCACGTCGAAGTAATACAGCAGATACGCTGACCTGTGACAGCAGACGGGCCGTTAGTGCCGGAAAACAAATACAAGGGTACTGCCTGTGTGTTCATGTTTCTCAGGGAAGATCTACCTGGGCTTCTTGGGTTTTTCGGAGTTTTCCACGCTGCCTTTGCTCTTGCGTTTCTTCTTGGGCGAAGGAAGTTCCAGAAGCGTGTAGCAGCTCTCCACCTCCATCTCCCCATAGATGGCCTCCATCTCTGAAGACACAGAGAAAGAGAATCAAAGAACTAGGATAGAGGCCTTTAAAATCAACTCATTTATGTATTACCAATAAAATTAGGTCGGTATCATTTGGAGTAACTGTTCACTGGATTTATCCTTTAAAACGGGTGATTACAAGGTTTTGACTTTTTTAATGAGAGAAATGAGAGCATTGTCTTTTCATAAATACAAAAATAATACAAATATTGAAATGCAACTTAAGAGAAAAGATGTCATATGTCAATGATGTTGAATTTAAAATATGGAATATTACATATAGAAAATTCAGTAACACTTACAATAAGGTTCCATTAGTTAATTAACACGAGCAATACATTTATTCATTAATGAAAATACAGTCGTTCATTGTTAGTTCACGTTAATTCACAGTGCATTAACTAATGTTAACAAGCACAACTTTTCATTTTAATAATGCATTAATAAATGTTGAAATGAACATTAACTAAGATTAATAAATGATGTAGAAGTATCGTTCATGCTTAACTAATGTTAACTAATGAACCTTACAGTAAAGTGTTACCGAAATGTCTTTATCCACAAATGTAAATGGGCAGCACGAAAACCTACTTTTGCTCATTTTAAAATAAAAATAGGACCTGCTTATTTTTACAGCAAAAAGAAATAACAAATCAAAAATGACTGTAAATTACCGCAAAGCCTTAACATTATCAAATTATTTTTAAACTAAATTTATATATATATATAATTTTGCAAAATGTATATTTTATTATAAATATGTTTTCCTATTTAATTGATGTGGAGCTGCTCTTGACAGGTTTCGATACATTCCTTACATGATACTGATGTACTTCAGGGAACACTATGGTGTTACTATTGTACATACACAAAACATGGACTTATTTTATGAACAAGGTAATAGTTGTTAGTATTAGTTAACAGTGTGCTGCTGGAGTGCAGCTGGAGCAGATGCAGGTCAACAACAGCAACATTATTTGGACCGCATCACGTGACACTCCTTAACCGCCTTCACACACACAAATATGATTTTAACTGCAGTTTATTGACATAAACGCGTAGTTTAAGTGGTTAAAGCGGGCGTCGGAGTGTTCGCGGGCACGTCCGAGTGTGTTTTGTTCGCTCCCGATGTCGCTTATTGTTGAGCGCTGATACTGACTGTCCGCGGCCAATGAGCGCGTCTCTTATTGAAGCCTTACCTGGTCCTGAGCGAGCGCGGGATCGGTCCGAATCCAGGCGAACCTCTCCTCACACCGGCGCTAAAGCTGCGGGACCGGCGGTCCGGATCATGTGTGTGTGCGGGGCGAGGGTTCAGTCGCTGTTTTAGCCCGTGTTTCCTGCAGTATAGTGCTGTAAAATGGCGGAGGAGAGATCAGATGAACGACTGGAGGCCCAATGAGAGATGCAACTGAATACAGTACGACTTTTATTTTGCCCTCGGGTTCAAGCGATATTTTTACACGGTTTTATTTAATTTCACATGTATGTAAAAGCCATACCGTGACACACATCTACGTTAATAACTTTCCTAGGATACATACAACTGTTCTTCCCGCGGTTGGCGCTTGGTGGCGTCGAGCGCCGATTCTTCCGTTGAGTCGTGTTCAAAACTCGGCATGTTTCCATAATGCTGGCGTTTGTGTCCAGGAGACATTAGCATCATATGCATCTTTTGATTACAGCATCTTTTCCTGAGACGCAAACAGAAACCATCCCCTTCGGGCTCTGCAGAATGATAACACACAGCTGTAATGAGGAGCGACGGTGATTGGGCGACCGTGAGGAGCGATGAGAAAAGTAACGGCTGTCACGTGACCGCGCTGTCTGCTTTAGCAGCGTTTATTTACTCCTCAGCAATGATGACACTGAAAAACTTTAATAGGCATTACATTGAAAAAAACATATATAGATTTATAATGTCTCTCGAGCCTTCATATCTGAGAAATGACAGAGAAAGTTCGAGTCTGGGCTTTGTCTATTTTTTGAGAAGCTCGTGTATTTATAATCGCAATTTATACATAACGCTTCTTTGTTGCTTATATTGGTCATTCTAACGAAAACATAATGAGATCAAATATATTCACAGAAGTCAGGCGTGATTTGTCGTGATGCTTCAGACTCAGACCAGGCGAGTCGAGCGCAGATTGAATCGTTTGTCATTTTCTGCAGTATGGCGGAGGACAAGGTGAGAGAAAGGCTGGCTGTCTGTAAAGCGAACCCTGTTTTCAAATGAATTACTGTACAGATAAGAACAAACCGGGTGTGTCGTGTATATTTAAGCGCTGTGCTATGAAAGGCAGCTGCTGTTTGGTCATTAGCGCTGTTGTAAAGCTTTAGTGGAGTTATGTTGGGTCATTGGTAGGGCTGGGTATCGATTCAGATGTCTCGATTTTTTTGATTACATTCAGTGAATATAGTTTTAATACAAATGCTATTGATATTTCTAAAAAAAATGAACAGTAAACATCAGTTTACAAATGGTGAATTAATAAAAAGAAATTAAGAACCGCATGCCTGTATTTTAAACCTATTCTTTTCTTTTTTTTTGTATAGGGTCCTTTTTAAACAATAATAGGGCCCTATAAAATGTTCTTAATTTTTCTGGTAATCAGATGAAGGCATAAAACATGAATTTATCCTAATCAAATGAAAATTAAACCCTTTTATTTTGTTGGCAAACAAAGTGCTGCACAACAGAGGTTTACTGTTAAAATGAAAAAGAAAGCAGATGTGATTATTCCTTTAAAAATAAAGATTTATTCATATTTATTAGCAGTAGTAGCATTGAGTCTTCAGACTGCTGAATAGTAATATATTCTGACATCTAGTGGAGAAGACTAATGATAAGATTCACGTTAATCAGATCTTATTTTAAATGTGTGCTGAAATAAATCCCGGAAAAGATCGATTCGCGGCTTTTGAGAATCGATATCGAATCGATGTCATTTTTAAAAAAAACGATTAATCGAAAAATCAAATTTTTTTTTTTGCCCAGCCCTAGTCATTGGTGTGATGTGTGTTGGTTCTGTTTCAGGATCCGGTGACCCGACTGAAGGATCTGGCTCAGCTCAAAGACCAGCTGGAGGAGATCCAGAAGAAGGTGGAGAATGAGGTTCAAGCTGGAATCCCTCAGGTACCACAGAACCACGACTGATCCTAAATATTACTAAAGAACACGCACAGAAAGTGTGGTGCTTTACTGGTGAATAGTTTTGTTTTGTAATGAGATGGTCCCCTTGTGACCACTGGGGACCCCAGTGATAAATATAAAGGTAGCTGTAAATTATTATGTATAAAATCGATTTATATTATGTGAGGATAATATTATAATTATTATTATTATTATTATTACCAGTTTTATTTTAGTATAAAGATACTATTTTAAAAAAATTGTCTGTTTTTGGTAGTTTTATTAGTATTTAAATTTAAAATTTGATCTATATTGTTTATATATATTGAAAATATAAAAGTATTTTCATTTATATTTTCTGTTTTCGTTTTAATTTTAGTTAAAGTTTTAGTAATTTTGTTGTGTGTTTTTGATAGTTTAATCAAATTTTTTTTATTTGTTAATATACGTTTTATTAATGTTTATTTCAGTTTTATTAATTAATTGTTATTTTAGTACATTAGTATAAACTGTGAAAATGAGAAATGTTGCCTTGCCTAAAATAGATATATTTATTATTTCAAGTAACAAGTTTTTTCATGGTAAAATATTTTCCTGAAAAAAAATTGATTGTTTTTGTCCTGTCTTTAGAAAGCAAAATATTTATGAATATTGTTTTTGTATGTATTATTGTAATTATATTATTAATTGTATTAAAAATATAATTTAGTGAATAAAAAATACATAATAGCTTAAGTGTATTTTGTAAAAAAATAAATAAATCCCCCCAATTTTTTTACGGACCCCCTACCACCCCCTTGACATCCCCGGACCCCAGTCCAAAAACTCCTGTCCAATTAAAAATAAGAAAAAGTAGTATTTTCTAAACATGTTGCACTTCATATACATTAAGATTGACAGCCTGCATGCTTCCCAGCAGCTGAAACTGGCCGTCCTGTTTGTGTTTCTTAGGGTGGCTCATTTTTAGCGTCTCCTTTCCTGAAAGGATTCCTGGCCGGGTATGTGATTTCCAAACTGCGTTCCTCAGCCATCCTGGGAGTGGCTTTGGGAACCTTGACGGGGATCTACGCCGCTCAGAACTATCAGGTGCCCAACATCGAGACGAGCCTACGAGACTTCCTGAACTCTCTGAAGAAAGGACCGAGTGATTAACAACTCCTTAGCAACCAAATTCAGACTGAAGAGGAGAACATGCGCCATTGCTGCTGGCTTTTGTGTCATTCAGCGCCACATCAGAGCTCCTTCCCTCCTGAACAATACTGTTGGATTAGATAAAACCGTGTTTCGAGGTCTATATATGAGTGTGGATTTGGACTTTAATAATGAAGACTGTTATGATGAAAAGTGGGCGTCATGTAGGGCTGCACAATTAATCAGAATAAAATCACAATCACAATAGAGCTTAGTACGATTATCAAATTGCAATGGCCATTTAATTAAATAAATATGTGATGCATGTTTCAGAGTGAAATGTGGCACTGTGCTCAGTCAGTTTAACATTTGAAAATGAAGAAATTAAGACACAAATATTGGTATTGTAATTTTACAGTAAAAAATGTTACATGATATTTTGTTTTATAATATTTTTCTTAAATACTCTACTTTTTTTAAGTGCAATTACAGTTGTAATATTTTTATTTAGTAGTAATTTAGTAAAAAAATAATTGTACAGCTGTACTATAAGATGCATTTATTATATTATAATATCATTAAGTTCTAATTTTTTATTTTGCATTGAAATCATAGTAATATTTCTTTTTTGTATATTTATTTAGTAGCAATAATAACAATTTAGTAAAAAAAGTAATTTTACAGCTGTACTGTAAAATAAAATTATTATACTCACACATATATAAGTAGAGTATTATAATATTATTTTTAATAGTATTAATAATTAATATAATTTTTCTTGAATACTCTTTTTATTTTAAAGTGAAATTACAATATTAATATTTTTATTTAGTAGTAGTAAAACTACTAAATAACTTTTATTATTGTTGTTATTATTTTATAATCATATGGATATATAATCACAAAATCTTTGGCCAAATTGCGCAGTCCTACAAACTAGCACAGCAAACCTCAAAAAAATTCAAATGAATAATTTCAATCAACATTTTTATTAAAATTCTTACCAGATTTTTAGCCGCAAATCATGCAGCTCTAGCATCATGTCCGTTTTGTTTCATACTTCACCGTTGAAGACTTACGCTTGTCCCGGTGCTTTGTTTCAGTCTTTTGTAGAACTTCTTCCTGTACTTTCAGAAGCAGCTGTTGCATGATTGTGATAGATAATGTTGGTTCATCTGAAGCAGAACCTCCTCGCAGAAGACTCTCCTTCTCCTGGTTCTTATTTACGGTTCCCACGCTCCTCTCATCTCCCTCACGGCCGCGTTCCCTTCAGCCCGTCGTCATGTGTGCTTCTGATCGAGTTCATCAAGCTCGTGGTTTCGTTCGCAGCTCTCTTGGCGTCTGGGAATCTATCCTGCCTCAAAATATCAGTGTTGACGGTGGCGCCGTAACTGCCCGAGTTTGTCACAGCTACTCCAGTTTGGATTGGGAAGCGTCAGACGAATCCGCCGTCAGGCTTCACGTCTCATCCCGGGGTCTGCTGTTGGTGCTTGTCTATCGTTTCATCTCAGAATTGGCCGTTTACACCGAACGGGTGCTGGAAACCCAGCATCTGCCTTTGAGTCTCCAGAACTTGTTCCTGTATGTCTTCGGCGTGGGAATCAATCTGGCGTCTCATCTCTCTGGCGGCGGGCGGCAGTGGTTTTTTTTGAGGGTTTCTCCTCTGTCGTGTGGCTCATTGTTGTGGGACAGGCTGCTAACGGGCTCCTCATGTCTGTCGTCATGAAACGGGAATCACGCGGCTGTTCGTCATCTCCTCTTCTATGCTGGTGAATGGCGTGTTGTCATGGGGGATTCTGGGAATACATCTCACACCTTACTTCCAGTTTCCCGTGCTGCTGATTGGATGGGCCGTACACCTGTATTGCAGGTAGATGGGACGCCACCAAAGATGACTTTATTGCTGATTTTATTGTTTATTTTTTCAGCATGTGCCCTCAGATATCTCTGTCTTCTGCCTTTGTCCTCCTTCTAGAAGTGCATTTTTACTGTGAATGAACGTCGTCTCATCAAGACTGAATG